ATATTGCTATGAAAAGTTTCGACCTGCCAGGTGTGCATGTTTATAACTCCAGCACCTGATAATATCTGTGTTTCAAATATGAAAGGAATATATGAGGACAAACTTGGATGGTGAATCTTGTTTCAATCTCTTTCCTTCCATCTTTTTGGTTTTATAACCTCCTATGACAGCAAAGTTTTCATCTCCAATGACTATCTTTATGTTTTTGAAAGTAGTAATGTGGGCCTAGTTAACTGGAGAGGTAAACCTTCACTGCATCTTCAGAAGAACCACAGAGATACGGCATGGGACATTCCTTATGCCCCTGGCAGACAGCTTTCAGAGCTCAGAATGTATGTGTGTATCTGGAGTCCCTGTCTCCTCTGTGGCAAGGTCCACATCTCCAAGGGTTCCAGGAGTGAGAGTGCATTTGTCAGTGTTGATGGTGTGGCCTCATGTTGTCACCTTGCTGTCGTCAGAGCAACCTTTCTCCTTCCTAACACTCTTCTGGGCAAGAGCCATCCTGCCAGGCCCAGGATGGAAAGCAAGTATCCAAGAGAATTTGGGAGAAGCCAAGCTGTGGTCCCTGGTTTCTAACTCTGAAAAGACGCTACAATGTGCTATCATGTATCAAGTTTTTTCAGTCTGGATGGGCCAGTTCCCCTGGTGTAGTGACTGTGTGTGTGTGTGTGTGTGTGTGTGTGTGTGTGTGTGTGTGTGTGTGTGTATGTATATATGTAAGCATGTATGCACATGTGTGTTTAAGACAGTGTCTTACTATGTTGACTGGCCTGGAACTCACTCTGTAGACCAGGCTGGCCTCAAACTCAGAGATCTGCTTGCCTCCGAGTGCTGGGATTAAAAGTGTGGGCCACCAGGCCTGGCTATATAAACAAAATCTTTAAAGCAGTGGTTCTCAACTTCCTAATGCTGAGACCCTTTTAATACAGTTGCTCATGTTGTGGTGACCCCCAACCACAAAATTATTTTGTTGCTACTTTGTAACTATAATTTTGCTACTGTTATGAATCGTAATACAAATATCTGATATGCAACCCCCAGAGGGGTCTTGACCCACAGGTTAAGAACCACTGCTTTAAGGTGTCCTAAATTGATGATTAAAAACTTGCTGTGCGCTAATGTGTTAGGAGCTAGGACTGTAAAGAGTAAAACATGAATCCCTTCCCACCCGATTAGCTGTGGGGTGACCATCAGGGAGGCACCAACAGGCAGCCTGGCTGTGATTCACAGTGACGATTTAGGTCCAGGGAACTGAGTATGTTTTGGGGGGAACCCAGATAGTTGACCAAACTCCCTGAAGGAAAGTACAGGGTTAAGGGGGCTTCCGGGAGGAAGGGACCTTTGAGCTGAGTGCTAAGGGTGAGAGGGGCCGGAGGAAAAGTGCAGGCCACACAGGCTGAAGAGTAAGGTGGAGGGGTGGGAGCCGGGTAGAAAACAAAGTTAGGAAGGCAGACCCCAAGTGACTCGGGAAGTGCTCAAGTTCTTTCTGTAATCACTCTAAGTCTCGGTCAAATGCTTCTTTGGGCCACAGTGAATCATTCACTAGGATTTCCTTCTCAGCAACGTCCCACAGAACCTGCAGCTCGTTAGTACTCGCCAGCCAGCCAGCCTCACTCTCCATGAGTAATGCCGGTTGGCAGGCTCGGCACGGCCGGGAAAGCCTCCCAACAGGAGGACCTCGGCCTCCATGGCTGGGCTCGGTGGGCTGGTAACTGTTCTTAAGAGCTGAGTTTTCTGGTGTGGGATTTCCCAGGGTTTTACTTCTTCCAAGAGTCTCTTTTAGCAGCCTGCCCTGGGTAAACCGCCGGGACTCAAACAGCTTACCACTTAAGAACCGAGTCCAGGCAAGAGAAGTGAGTGACTCCACGTCTCATCTGCTAAATGGGTGCAACCATATCTACCTCACAGGGTTGGTAGAAGAATGAAAACACCCAGAAGAGCCGGGCAGAGTGAGGACCTGATGCTAACTGGCATTAGTTTCTATGTCACTACTACATTGTCATTTGTCACCATTCAGCCGCTGGTACAGAGCCCTGCAAGACCAATACATAGTGAATCCAAACAGTATGCAGCCATAGGAACTTATGGCCAAATGTATGTCTTTCTGGTTTTAAAATTATTGTTACTATTATTTTACACTCTCAGGTGACATGATGATCATCTTTTCCCATCCTTAGCTCTAGGCCAGGAATAAAAAACTTAGTTCCTTTCCTCTTTTAACTGTTGCTGTAAGCTGTGAGGAAGAAATACAAACTTTGAAACAACACAAATAGGTTTTGGTTGTTTCTCTTCTCCAGTTCAGACAGAAGCCATGCAGCCACCTGCCTATCGACATCACTGTCATTAACTGCTGAGTGAAATGAATACTTTGAATGTCAAGGGCGTTCAAATGTCCAGAGAGCAACTTTCATTTTTAAAAAAGGCCCTTAAACAATGACAGAGTTGCCCCTAACCACAAGGACAGACATATTGTTGTTTAATAGTATGAACACTTACATAAAATATGTAGCATATACATTTCTTTTCTCTAGAAGCCTCAGCCATGACTATTCTTGCATACCTCTTAAAAAGAATCTCCAAACAATTTCAAAACACTGAATTTTAGACATTCTAAGCATAGGAGCAGTAATCCTTTGATTAGCTATGAGTGATTAAGTTCCAGGTTCTCTATGTCCCTCATTATCCCATGCCTTAAAACTGAAGATTACAGACATGAGAGAACTCTCCTATTTGTAAAGTAATGGCATTAGATGAAAACAAGAGTGCTCTGGGGTCAACTGATAACCTATGGCCTACAGAGCGATTCCTACCAATGCCCTTTGGACAGAAGTGCAGGGCCACAAACATTGAGCAACAGTGACCACCCAACCAAAAGATGCTAGGTACAAAGTATTCAGATAAGCACGTCCAGCTCAAATGCGTTGTATTTCCCAAGGCTTAAACAGCTTTGAAAAGCTTCCCCTTAGCCATATTTATTTACAGTCTCACACTATAGCGCAGGTTGGCCTGGAACTCACTTTGTGTAGCCCAGGAGAATGGTCTTGAATTCAGGGTACTTCCCCTCTCAGACCCCTAACATTTTGGTTTTGGTACATATTTTGCAGCACTATGGTTCCCTGTATGTGAAGATTTTGATCCAAAAATGCGAAACATAAAAATGCTGCATTTGTTTAAAAATGAAGGCTTGCAATAAAAATGTTCAAAGTGAAAGGCATTCCATAGGCCAGGCATACATCTCAGTGGCAGAATGCTTGCCTAGTATGCAGAGGCTCTGGGTTCTATCCCCACTGGGGGGTGGGAGAAGGAAGCCTAGTGGAGTAACACTGGGAAGGTACAGGCAAGATCACTGCAGCATGTTCCAGGCCAGCCTGGTAAACATAATAAGTTTCAGGCTAGCCAGGGCTACATAGTAACTCCATCGGTAACAACAAACACAGACAAACAAAAACCAGACACTGCTGTAAGTGCTTAGATACAACTCTGAACAAAGTTGCCAAGGTCTCTGCTTTCCGGTACCTTAAATTCTACCTGGGAAAAGACAGACAAGGGACATCCATCAGGCTCTCACACCAAAAGAATCACTACACAGTTATACCCAAAGGGAACCTCCCCAAGCAGTTTAAATAAAGCTCAGGCCTTTCAGTTATATACATAAGACAAGGACTATTTTAAGGTTAAGATGATGGGAAAGGTGGTTTTCTCCTGTCCACGGAAGCACTCCTTTTTGTTCTCCAAGTTTGCAGCATAAATAACTTCTCTAATTTTTCTCATCAGGGGGCTAGGCTTAAAAGGGCACACATTGGCAATGAACCAAAAAGGGCTCTGGACAGGACAGACTGTTCTGCTGGCTTGAAGACTACCTGAACACGTTCAAAGGAAAGGCCAAGGCAAGTATAAAAGGTTAAGTAGGCATTGCTCCTAGTTAGTACGTGCTCCAGGTAAGTTTCTGCAGTACTCAAGGAGAGTGCCTCAAATCTGCTTTCTTGGGTGAAACGTTTCTCTTGGCTCAGGGAAGAATTAGGAGTTACTAGCTCCATTTAGGCCCTCAACTTTCTCTCAGCACATCTCAGTTCAAGATGACACATTGGTCTTTTTTTTTCCTTTTAAGTGAAGTCACTCCTCTCCACTCCTCTCTGTCTTGCTCACAGCTGCATCTCCAGCAACTGGTCCAGTGCCTGGCTTGGAGAAACTGGATTACGAAATATTTAAGGGACTAAAGAGCCGACTGAGATGGAGAGAAAGATTAATGGCTCCCAGTCAGCGGAATCTCCCAAGGGCTTAAAACAAAGAAAGTGCATTACACTCCATCTCGGCTCCTTCCCATCCAAAAACCAAATATGTCTGACATGGAGGGAAGGATGCACTACGCCAAGGTCACAGATGCAGGAAGAAACGCGGAGTCTTGGCACCCGGAGAACCTCGCTCCATACGGCCACATTTCCCTCGGATACACACGCAGCCGTCAGCTTCCACGCAGCACGGCCAGACATTACCCTCTGAACCCCGACAGGTGGGCCAGCTGCCCCAGAGGGCAGCTGGTCAAGGGCATGCGCGCCCCCCAGCGCCACAGCCAATCGGTGACACGCTGCTCCGGCACCATGGCCAATCGGCGAGATGCTGGCCCGGCGCCGCCGCCCACGTGCTCACCCCTTGCCCCGCACCCCACCGCGCGCGGAGTCAGCATCTTGGACCCCCATCACTCGCTAGAATGGGGATCCGGGTGGACCGGAGAGCCACAATTCCCATCCCCGGGAACTGCGCTGGCTCGCTGTCCAGTGATGCAGGGGAGGGAGGGAGGGATGAGGGGTCCTGAGGGGTCACCGCAAGGCGCGGGCCATCAGCCCTCCGTCCCGGGGCAGGGACCCCTTAGGAACACGGGCGAGTGAGGGTGCATGCGTGTGCTAGCACGCGGGGCCGGGTGCAGGTCTCGCGGCGTCCGCAGCTCAGCTGGGCAGGGGCAGGCCCGTGGTCCCGCTCCATCTCAGTATCCCTCGGCTCACCTGGCTCTGGTAGAGGCTGCGGCCGCAAGGCCTGGGTGAAAGGCGGCAGCCACCCCGGAGAGGACGCGGCTAGAGTGCAGCAGGGCCATGGTGGGTGGCAAGGCGGCAGTGGACAGAGGCAGAGCTGGGAGCTCGGGAAGCGTCCGCAGGAACCGAGGCGCGGGCTGCTAAAAGGTGAGGACACTGACTTCCCTGGGCGTGGCTAGAGCGGCGGGAACGAGTCTTGTCACAGCGGCCCCTGGCGGTCCGGGGCAGATCGAGGACGCCTCCGTGGAGGTCATGGAAACCTGCAAGGACGCCGCCAATTACCGTCTATGAACTTGCGAAGCTTGCAGTGTGTGAGGATGCGCAGAACAAGGCGCTCAGCGCTCTGCGCTCTGCGTCCTGTTAATCATCCGGTATGTCAGAGGCAGATGCTAGTGTGCCAGTTTGAAAGGTGGGAAGTAAGCTGACGCCAGGGAGGTATTTTTTCCCCCAATGCGGCACAGACTTTAAAACACAATGTATCCTTTCTTTCAACACTTTAACCAACAGCCGGACTTCCCTTAAGTGCAGGTCTTTCAACGTCGGGAATGCTTCCATGTCCCTGTAACAGAGGACAGTAGGTGTATTTTGTGGGGCACTTGTGAGGATTAACGGAGATTAGCCGATTATGCCTAAAAACAGGGCCTGATTAGTAAATACAAAATAGCCCATGACCAACAACAAATTGTTGCACATCAAATCTTCATAATTATGTTTGGAAGAAATGAATAAGTTTTTAAAGGGTAGGGGAATGAATTTGAGACAAGCCTACAAGTTGACCAAGTCCACTCTGAACATAGGATATTTCCCAGGCACGCTTTTAGAAATCTGTATAGTATTGAACCACTTGTCAATCTAATGTATCCTCTGTCACTCTAGCTGCCTGTGTGATTGTTATCAAGTTTGGGGCTGCAGCATGTGCTGCGAAACGGGCCCAACCACCCATCGTCAATAAAAAAAAAATTAAAAAGTCAAATAGGGGGAAAAAGATTTACTCAGTGTGGCCACATTGGGAAGTTGGACAAAGAGAGCCAGCAAACCTCCTTTTCCCGAGTTTGTCTTCAGGGTTCTGGAGATTAAATAGGGGGTCAAGGGTTTCCAGTCCACGTGTGGTCCTGCCTGCCATTGACCCACCCTTAAGGTGGTTTAAGAAGTTGTTAGAACTGTGGAATCTTACAGGACATGGTGGCACATGCATCTTTAGTCCCAGCATTTGGGACACAGGCAGGCAGATCTCTGTGAGTTTGAGGCCAGCCTGGTCTACAAAGAGTTCCAGGACAGCTGGGGCTGCACAGAGAAACCCTGTCTCAAACACAACAAATAGAAAAGAACTATGTGAAATCTCTTTCTGGGAGACAAGTTGTCCCTCTGGCTGGGTCCTTTTCCTTTCAGTATGAGATTCCTGGAGAAATTCCCATTTCTTTGGGTTCCATTGTCTCTACAGTCAAGAGAGACACAGTGGCTTTAGCATGCCTTCACTCCTGCCAGGCCTGTTGCATGATGCAGTCCAGATCCCTACATGGAGTCACATGGTCGGCCCTTCTGGTCTAGCCCTAACTCACTGCCTCAGTCCTATGGTGTCTCACTGACAGTGGCCTGTGTTCCGATATGCAGTGAGTTGAGATTCCTGCACTACTTAGTGTGTATGTTTTTCCCCCGCTCTGGTACAATAACATTATCATTCTTTGACTATCTTGGAATAGGGATAGTGTGCTTGGTACCCAAACCTAGACATATCTGGGAAGAGGGAATCTTAATTGAGAAAATGCCACCGTTAGATTGGCCTGTAGACAAGTCTGTGGGGTACTTTCTTGATTGATGACTGGTGTGGGAGGGCCCAGCCCACTATGGGAAATGCCACCCCAAGCAGATGGTTCTGGGGTGTATAAGAAAACGGGAGGAGCAGGCCAGCAAACAGCACTCTTGTGAGGTCTTGGCTTCAGTTCCTGCTGCCAAGTTCCTGTCATGGTAGACTGTGATTAGGACATGTAACCCAAAGTAAATTCTTTTCCTTCCAAGTTGTTTTTGGTTGTGGTGTTTTATCACAGCAATAGAAACCCTTACTAATGCCGGGCGGTGGTGGCACACACCTTTAATCCCAGCACTCGGGAGGCAGAGGCAGGGAGATCTCTGTGAGTTCGAGGCCAGCCTGGGCTACCAAGTGAGCTCCAGGAAAGGCGCAAAGGTACACAGAGAAACCCTGTCTCGAAACCCCCCCCCCCAAAAAAAAAAAAAAACCCTACTAAAACAGACAGCTTTGGTCCAGTTGCCATGGCAACTAAAGAAACCCCTCAACCTGGCACTATAAGGAAGCAGTTAACACTGCATAGCTGTGATGGCTGTCCTCACTGTCAACGTGACTGCATCTAGAGTGAACTAAAACCCAAATGGTTGCGCACACCTCTGGGAGATTTTTTTTTTTTTTTTTCTTAAATCATTTGAAGTGTGAAGACCCACTCCTCATCCAGATCTTTGAAGTGGGAAGATCCACCTTTAATCCAGATCTTTTGAGGTGGGAAGATCCACCTTTTATCTGGGCCATACTTCTGGCAGCCTATGGAAAGGACACGGGAGAGGGAAGCTTGTCTCTGCCTGCTTGCTTGTTCTCACTCTTGCTAGCGAGTCCATTCCTTCACGGGCATTAGGGACTATTTCTCTGGGAAATACTCCAGTGTATACTGAAGACCAGCTAACATAACCAACCTCATGAACTAAACAACTAGGTTGACCTTCTGGATTCTTGGGCCTTCCGTTCACAGGCAGCCTGTGTTGGATTAGCTGGACTACAGCCTGTAAGCCATTCTAATAAATCTCCTTTATATATATGACTTCCCTAGGCATGGCTAGAGCGGCCCAGCAGCAGTGAGAATATATGAATATATACATAATATGTATATATTCACTCTCTAAGTACTGTTCCTCTAGAGAACCCTGACTAATACAACAGAAGAAGATGGACTGGGAGAGGAGGACCACTGACTCTTCACATGGATTCTGGCCTTACTTCTCAGCCTTCAGCTGGCATCTGAGAAGATGCTAGCAGTACATGGAAGGTAGAAAGTTAAGAGTGGGACCCCATGGTACACTTTCTCTGAGATTGACATCTGTAATGGGCTAGGACTTTGAGGCTGCTTTGGGGTCACCTGCACACCTGCAAGTAACCACTTACCCATGCTCCTGTAAGTCAATAAACTTGTTCACCAGGTTGGACTTCGGTGGGATCATTCCTTTGGTCTGTTGGTGCCCTGTTTGCAGTGAATAGACATTTATCAACATCATCCCAGAAGTGAACTAACAGAGTAGCTGCTGTGTTAACTTGGGCTGCTGTGACAAATCCCCACCAATCCAATGCTTTAAAACAATAGAAATTTGGGGCTGGAGAGATGGCTCAATGGTTAAGAGCTCTTATTGCCCTTGCAGACCTGGGTTTGGTGCCTAGACTCACAAGGCAACTCCCAATTGCCTGTAACATCAGTTCCAGGACCTTTGCAGGCTTATGACTCTCTCTCTCTCTCTCTCTCTCTCTCTCTCTCTCTCTCTCTCTCTCTCTCACACACACACACACACACACACACACACACACACCCCAACCCCCAGAAAGTTCCTCTCTCCCAGTTCTGGAGGGTGGAAATCCAAAATAAAGGTGTTGTTAGGGTCCCGGTCCCCTGTTGGGGAGATGGGATCCTTCCCCCCTAGCTTCTGACATTTTTGCAGATCCTTGCCTTTCCTTTGTTTATAGATTTATCACCGTGATCTCTGCCTCTGTCATCACGATGGCGTTTTCCTCTCTCTGGTATGACACCAGTATGTGTCTTCAGTTTGACACTAAGTATGATGCCCACACGTAATATCACTACTTGGAAGGCTGAGGCAGGAGGATTAGGTTTTGTAAATGGAGTGCCTGAATGTGCGTTGCCTGTAACGATCAATGCCAATAGACAAATACAGGAGTCTTTAACGTGTGCTTTGCTCAGTAACAATCTGGGAGGATAGCGTTAATCCCACAGAAAGAGAGAGTAAAGACCATCACCCAAATTAGCCAATTTATGGCACGTTTTGTTACATATGCACAATATAGCTGGCCCAGTGACTGCCTCTCCCTAAATGGGACTTGAGAGGTCAGCTTTGAACACAGGGGAAAGTGCAAGACTAGGAAGTTTCTAAGGGGCTTTGGTTATGTAGGGACTTGTTAGAACATCTAAAAAAAAATTTTTTTCCCCCCGAGATAGGGTTTCTCTGTGTAGCTTTGAGCCTTTTCTGGATCTCGCTCTATAGACCAGGCTGGCCTTGAACTCACAAAGATCCGCCTGCCTCTGCCTCCTGAGTGCTGGGATTAAAGGCGTGCACCACCACCACCACCACCACCACCACCACCACCGCCGCCGCCGCCGCCGCCGCCGCCGCCCGGCCTCAAAATTTTTGACAGACCATCTTATCAGGGTGGAGGTCAGGGGATAGGGTGGGGAACATGTCAGATTCCAGAAAATGGGTCAAGACACAGTCAAGCCTATGTTTTACTGAAAGCAGGAATGAACTTATTTTGGCCTTGTAACAAGATGGCTTCTAATGTTAAAATGGAGTCAGGCTGGTTTATCAGTAGAAGATTACTTCAACTCTGACATTTCTCTCTTCTCCAGCTAGCATACTTGACAGAGTGGGAACAAAGACAGCTGGGCATTCCAAAGGTCAGTCTTGGCTTTGAGATTTGGGTGTTTATCTTTGTCGTTATTGCCTCCTTTCTTAGTATTCTGTCTGTGGGCCAAGGTCCCCATGCTCCCTCCCAATGCTGAACAGACATACGGATAGCAGCATGTATGTTTAGATTCGTCTCTACAATAGGAAATGCAAATGTGCCTCCATAGTACAGGACACAAACTTGCGGCTACCCAGCTTTCTCCTCTAATATCAATTTGAGGCCAATGTACGCTATGTAGGATCCTGTCTCAAAAAATATCCATACTGGTTATTTTGGGGGGTTGGGTCTTTGTGATGCTGGCCTGGTGTGGCATTTGTGATTCACAAGGCCCTCAGGAATTTTTTTTTAAAGATTTTTTTTTAATATTTTAAATTTTTATTTCACGTATATTGGTATTTTGCCATGGGTGTTGGGTCTCAGGAACTGGAGTTACAGACAGTTGTAAGCTGCCATGTGGGTGCTAGGATTGAACCAGGGTCCTCTGGAAGAGCAGTCAGTGCTCTTAACCACTAAGGCATCTCTCCAGCACCAGGCCTTCAGGAATTTAAATCCATCCAGCTCTACACACACACACACACACACACACACACACACACACACACACACACACACACACTCTCACTCACTCGCGGCAGGGAAGGGGGAGGACTGAGAGAGAGATACTGAGATTGTTCTAAA